CTACCTATAAGTAAAGTAAAGTAACGGACCTTTTCCCACGCCGTTCAGGCGTATTGGGTATAAAATAGGGATAGACCTATATTTTATAGACCAAACGGCACTTGGTGGGTGATGTAGTCAACATCACGCTGGTGTAAATTACCTGTGGCCATGTCAGGAATCTTCTCTGGCGGTCTTCCCCTGTCTCTCTTTCCACAAATCTTTCTAAAGCTCACAAAATCTTCCTTTCTCCCTCTTCTCATAAAATGACTAAAAAAAGTATGACTGACTCTCTTTCCCATGTTTGTGATAAGTTTTCTTGGAACACTCACCTCTTTCAAAATATCTGGGTTGCTCTTCTTGGCTGTCCAAAGAATTCTAAGGATTCTTCTTTAAAACCACATCTCCGAGGTCTCAAGATATTGTTTATCAATTGTCTAAGATTCACAGCCGTATGTTAAAACTGGCTCTATATAGCATGCAAGAATTCTTTTCCTAACCTCCAGTGTTAAAAGTTAGTCGCGTATTCTTTACAGGACATTGCAGAACCAACCCCAGCATTTTGGGCTGTTGTGGGTTTTTTTTCTAGGCAAATTTACGTCCAGTAGTTTGCCATTGCTTTGTGGACGGTTGGCTTCTCGATACCACCGTCGAAACCAACGCAAGGAGCAAGACCCGCAGCTGAGATCGAACCCGGCACCGCGGCATTACGAAGCGTGTTCGCAACGCCTAAGCCATAGACGCCGACATTTATTGCATAAAATGTTCTTTATTTGATAAAATGCAATTTTGGCCTATCCTGTTCTCATCTTTATCTCTGTGATACACCTTCCATCGGATGTTATCCATGTACGTTGTCATCAACCGAGTTGCCCACCGGCTCGCTAGTAGATGACTTCGTCGCCGATCTGTACGATATTTGGGTCTGACTCCTTTGATCGCATCGACACTGCAGGATTTCAATTCTTTCCTGGGTTCTTGGTGACGTGCAATACTAAGACATTTTATATGGCACACACAACCTAGTCACAATTATAACCTAAAGCTCCTTCTCGGGGAATTATGGTTGAACGTGACGATTTTAATTTTTTCCCCCAACAAAACACCTACCTATCCATGTGAGTATTTTTTTTTTAAATCCAGAAACCATGAGTTGTTAACCCTTTGGCTCGGTACTAATACTATGGATATCGCAATCCTTCGGCCTTGATTCCATGATAGATATCGTGGGTAGGTAGGTAAGCTGTACCCCACCAGGACATCACACAGAGCAATAAACACCCGGTGACGCAAAGTGTCACCATGCGGATGAGGATCACCCGTGGAGAGGTCCCAGAAACCGCGTTCAGTCTATATCGCGGCCCTCGGCAAAGGCCGGTCTGGGGCTTCAAAATAACGAAAAATTGCGCCCCACACGGGGACGACCCTAACAATATATGAAATTATATGTACCGTCAGCCTGGTAGAAATGTAAATTTGTGTACTTGTTCTAAAATAACGCCTTTGAATTTTATTATACATTTAAGCACTATTCTTTCCTAGAAAATCACGATTACCTCTGTTTTCCCATTATTCAAACTGGGGCCCATTTTATCACTTTCTTTTAATTTTATGTACCTTAAACCCCTGTCTAAAGTAACTTGCAATAGATTGCCTCGCTGTTTACTGTTTTGCCATTATAACAAATTTGTACTTTGAGAACACGATAAACACTTTGTACTTAACCCAGTAATAACATGGAGGGTGCTACCGGACATTTATATTGGAGCCAATGCAACTCATTCATCTCCTTGTGGGATGCAAATGTTTCGTTTTTTGAAGCCCTACTCTGGTTCTTGCCAGGGGCGGCAATATTGCCAGATCATAAATATATAGTCTAATGGCTGGGCGCTGTTTCTTGTACCTCTCCACGGTGATCCTCATCCACATGGTGGCACTTTGTGTCATTGGGTTTTTATCGCTTGTGTGATATCCTGGTGGTGTAAAAATCTACTACTACTACTACCATACATTTTGTGAAACTTACTGCTACTACATAATTAACGTGTGAAAATATAAATAACTTGATGCATTTTTGATATACTATGTCAAGCATTTTAGGATCAGCTTCTGGGTAAGTGGAAAAAACTTGTTCATAATTTACTCACCTCTAAAACTAAGTCACGGTTTTCTCTACTAAATACTAACTAACAGTATAGTTGTTTGTTGTAGCAGTATGCTAATATTAATCCTTATCGATTTATATTCTCATGTAGGATATGTGTATGTTGGACATCAGCTGCAGTTGTGTGGTTTGTTTTAAAGTGCTGCATTTGTTAAAAGTCAAAATTATATTACCCCCCCCCCCAGTGGGCCTCTGATGCAAAACCCCCTGGAATTCAAAGAGTTAAGGTATCGGATGGTTTAGGGGGTTTAGCTGTGTGTGGCTGAGTTATATTTAAAAATGTTCTTTTCTAAGGGCGCATATGAATGGGTTTGTATATGCTGTGTGCGTGTGTTCAGGAGGGGATGCACATTTGAAAATTCACTGAGAGTAAACTCCTAGAACCTGGAACATTTTTGTAATGTTATGTTGTTGCATACGGTTTAGATGCTGCAGATATTCAAGTTCAAGATTCATGTCCACTGTATAGTAGTTTTCGTGTTTACCTGGGTTTCCATGAGTTTTACGACAATAGATTTTCAACACCAAGAGTTTCAATCGTTGTCTAAGGGCAGTCTAAGGCAGACAAAAATAAAACCGTTTCCGACATCAACCGGCAAATTATAGCAGTACACGATTACACGTTTTGGCTACCAACTCTTTGCATGAGTATAAATTCCAGAAAATATCGATCTGCCAGTGCTTCTGTGTTAAACACAGAGAAGCAGTAGCATTTCATAAACTAAATGATATAATATAGAAGAGAAAATGTAAGTTCCATTTCTTCAGACAATTTATTTAGCTTTAAAACATCAAATCAAACGTACCAGGCCCGTCACGGAACGATCGGTGAACCTAGTCTTCGTCGCGTTGACCAACTTTAAACTCCGGCGGTAAAGTAAGGTTTTTTATTCATCTCTTGACTTTAGTCTTGTTCTAGAACCTGAGTATTGCGTGCACATCCGTTTTAAAGAACTGAATGCAGATTGTTGGTTCCTTGCCCCTCAGGCAGATGCACTCCAACTTCGATGGAAGCTCCCAATTAGTTGACTCTTACGACATGCTTGTTAGGGAGGCAGTGGGTCTATTCTTGTTTTACCCACAGTGGGGTCCCAGAAGCCACACGGGGATGTAAGTGTACAGAAAAGTATTTAACGACGTGTTATGACTTCAAATGAAGTCAAATTTTTACCAGAATTTAGCTTACATCTGACGGGTAAATACAAATAAGAAGATACATTAAAAGCAGTTTGTTTGGCATAACAGAAATCAGATTTAGAATTTGCTTTATCAGATAACAAAGCAGGAACAGGCGAGGGAGCTCAGTGAACCACTGGTTTTTAACTTTTACCGTAATTTCCACTCAAACTGCAGCTATGCTTACTTATTGAACAGATTACTATGAGGGGCTGCGTGGCCTTAAAGCATAGTGTCTGCCTCGAGTGATAGAAGTTCCAGGTTCAATCCCTAGTAAGGGCTGGGATTTTTTTCACATGGACTTGGACATAGTAATTCCCCCTGGTCTCTGGGTAGTGAGATCGGACGCCTCCCTGCTAATCTCTGGAGGGTGCAACTCGTGATGAGTGGAAAGCTCAAAATACAATTGTGAGGTTAAGCAGTCATGTGCAAGATGTGATTATTCCTTGGGTGAGCCCAGGACCAGAGCATCATGCGTCGACTGCATTTTTTGAAGCCTCCTTGGATGGCGGGGAATGCCCATGATCTGCCCCTGCCTTCCCTTAAGTGTTGAACAGTCCGCGTACGGTTGCCCAATATGGATTCTCCGGGGCTAGCACCTGTAGAAGAAAGGACAAAGAGGACACCAGACAAATAAGGCAACATCATGTCCCACCTATCAATGGCTACAGTCATCTTGGAGATAGGATGGAGATAGGATGGATGTCTTCCTTCGAAGTCTTGAGTACATCTGCCTGAGAGGCAGGCAACAAGAACTGTACACACACAAAATAACCAGTAAAAGAAATTTGCACGCAAAAACTTAGGTCCTGGCATAAAGCCAGTTGAAAAGTGGTTGAAAATCCAGGCTTTTCTGCTTTAATTCACAGCTGATAAACATAGAGAAGAAGTATCACTCACATCACCCTTTGAGTTGCTGGTTGGTCTATACAATTAATGAGCCAGTTATTGCACAGTCTGACACACTCTTGTACTTTCTTAACTTTTGCAGCTTTTGCATCTTCTTCTGTAACATTCATCACATATATGTATTTTGTTATATAAATTCACTTGTATTGTTTCTTGTTGTATGATTGTGTTTAACATCTTTAGCATTACCAGTTTCAAGTACCAACCCTTATTTATTATAAAGCCCTACTCTGTATGCAGTATGCTGGCCTTTCAACCCAAAAGTCTTTGTTTCAAATCTGCATAAAGGCACATTTTTGTATAACTGAACTGGACTCCCACATCAGCCTAATCTTAAATTGGTACCAGGATATATTCTGGGAGGTAAAGATGATCGTTGTGCTGTGACCACATCACCCATCAAATTCTAGTTTGTTTATAAAAATGTGGATCTAACCAAGGTTTTTTTTTTACCCCTAGAAAAATAGGTGCTAGTACTCATTACAGTGTATCTGTTATAGCAGTGCTGAAAAGAATTATGGCTTAAAAATGTGCCAGTACTGCCTACCTTAGCATACCACCAGTAAAAATGCCTTGGGTATAACACCATATACCTGATGCTTAGTGAAGAAAGTCCCTGTAATTTACTCACATGCAAGACACATAACTCAAATGTGTCCATGTCTAATTTGTTAGTTATCGTTATATAATTTATTACTACCACTTTAACTCCATTTTGAAAATCTCTTCTCCAAAGAATCTGGTGGGAGACTTGCTTACAGAAAAACACATCATGTCCAAGAACGAATTACGTCACAGACCAAAGACAAAGCAGAGAGGCGCACTTACTAGCAATGGACCTGACAGTAGCAACTGGCCATATGCACATGGAAGAATGGACCCCTATGCTAAAGTTATTGGCATCTCCGTTCTTGTAATTACATCAGCACTGATTGGTATATTCCGCTACCAGCAGTACCTACGAGATATTGTAATCACGCCTCTAGATTCTCCAAGGATTATTCTTGATAATAGCTCTTCCCCAGATGTAAACCCGGAGAAGTTTTGGGGCACTTACAGGTATTTTTTTTAAAAATAGAATTTTAAATGTGTGTGAGATAGACAGTTAGCATGTGTGGGAACTTCCTCCATAATGTTATTTTAGGACTGTTTAATTTTTGCTGTAGTCTTTATTTGTCTTGCTTTCTCTATCGTCAGCCACATTCATCATCATGTAGTAGGTTCCTTTACAGAATGACACTGTCATCATAGTCTGCCTAAAATCTCTCGCCAGCTCTCCTGCTCCATGCACTTTCCAACCCAATGTGCCCAATATATCTGTCACAAACCACTCGTGTCACGTGCCAGATTTATGGATTTCTCCTAAAGAACCAACAACACTCTGAAATAAAATAATGTTGAGGCGTCGGCTCGTATTGGTCTAAGGGATATCCTGTGGCCAATATACGCTCAACTTATTTCAGGATTAGGGCAACTCAAGTTCTGGCACTACAGAATATCTAATAATCCTAGCCGCAACTTGGCTGGACACCCCCACTACTATAAAAAGATAGCTCCCAGGCTATGATAGTGTACTATCACAGCCATGTTAACACAGATTACACTTATTAATCACACAAACAGAAAAGCTAGACAGTTTGAACAGTGAATGATGAACACTCAAGTAAATAATGCAATTTTCTGAACATGTAATAAATGCAACACATACATTATATAAGAATCAGCAAAGAACTTCAAGAACCCAGAGTGATATGAAGGACCAAAACTTCAAAACAGATCTGACTGATTGTGTAAGAGATTCCCCAAAAGTCCGCCTAGATCATCATTATGATCATGTGGACGATTAATAGTGAAGCCTGGCAATAAACCAATGATTGACCACACTTATCTGAATTCCTGGTTTCTTGAACTTACTGGATGTTCAGTCACTCTGTGGTTTCGTTGAAGACAGTCCCACACTAGACACTCGAACACTGGAGATGCATCCAAGCTCCTGGAGAGGATCTCGGATATCAAGTCAATCACTTGAGGCACAAACAAGCTTCCGGATAAATGATGGTGAAGGTACAACACCCATAATGTTGTCTGTAGACCAACTGTAGGATTTTATTTAATGGCTGACATAAGTTTGGTTTACAATCTGAAGCCCACCACTGGCTTAGACATAGGTGACTTCCCTGTTGGTGGTTTTGTGGACCGCTGATTCACTGCCTGGCCTCCAAGGAGATATCATTCTGTATCAAGAAGGAACTCAGAATTAGCAGTCATCTCAGGGGTTACGTGTCAAGCTCAGTTTATTAACATCCACATTAGTAATCATTCAGAGGACAGCTCTCAGGATAATGAGACAGTATAAGTCTTCAAATATCATCTCTGTCGGTCAGTCAGTAACAGGGACAGGAGACGAGTACCAGAGTGGAGACAGATAGACTCTATCAAACATAGAACATCAACTCTCCTCGCCCACCTCTGCACTTGTTTTATACCATCCACCGTCTGTCACACACTGTGTTGTTGTGTCTGCTAAAATTAACCTCTGACGCCACAGCGTCTTGTAGGCTGAAGTGTGACCCAGTTAAATATGTCCGCTAATCGACTCAAACTCGGTTGGTTCGTTACAGATTAATTAACTTGCTAGGTTTAATATATTTATAATGGTATTGGGTCAAGTAGGGTACAAACTATCAGCTTGCGAAGGGAAAGGTTTGATTTCAGGGGCTTGAGTGTCTGGACACCAAGAACGACCTAGTTCTGTGCTGTCACCCAGCTGAATCTTTCCTCCCTGCAGCAGCGGCTAACTATATAGAGACATAAATCATTGTACTCATAAACTATAATCGACTTACCCAAGCTTAGGAATCCTTCAACGATTAAACTGGTATTTTGAATGCGCCAAGATTTGATCAGAGAGGTGAAATACTTCTGCACACCTAGGAAGTCAGGCAAAGAATGACCCCGCCTGATCTGGCTTGGTGTCTCTAGAAAAAAAAAGTCCTGTAATAGTGCGCCAAGGAGTAAAAAGGTTTCCAGGAATTCAGAATATTATTCCAGAAAATATCTATCCCACAGTTGCAAGTTTAAAAATGTAGACTTTTCAAAACAACTAGAGGGTAAAGAAATATCTATTCCACCAGATAGAGGTGTATATCAATATGAGGGACTATATACCCACCGGACGGGTTTAAATTTGAAATGTGACCTGCCCGCTAGGGGCGTCAACGTCACGACAAGTCTACTGTGTAGGGTTCGGTTGATTCACTCCGTGACAATATCCTGTGCCTATCTTTGTGCTGGCAACCATATCTCTTCTATCCTGGTACTGTGCTTTTTGCTATTCTTTCCAATCCACTGTGGTGCTTGATATGCCGCCCCCCCCCCCCCCCCAATGTAGTTTTCTAGACAGAATGCTGTTTACTAGCCTGCTACATGATGATGATAATGTCTTAAACATAACTTTAGCTGATCCACCAAATACTTTATGTAGAAAATACCCAGACATTCAATAGTGTCTTGTATGTCCAGTGTCAACATACAACTGAAGACAGCCATTTATATTTTTTCTTGCAGCATACACATGCATCCATAGAAACAGATTATATATATATATATATATATATATATATATATATATATATATATATATATATATATATATATATATATATATATATATATATATATATATATATATATATTAGTCTTCTCCACCTAAATGTGATAACTCAGTCTTAAGGTCTCCAGTGTCTAACTCATCAAGGAGCCACAATGGGTCAATGGCTAGCATGTTTGTCAGCCAACCTGGTGGTCATAGGTTTAAACACCTGTAGACTTTAAAAAAAAGCCTTACCTAGGCTCATAGGTCAACCCAGCTTAAAATTGGTACCAACAGATGTTTCTGGAAAGTAAATTCAGTGAATATTATATTCCCCACATTCTTGAGTACAGATTGCTTACTTCTGAAGCCATGATGTATTTTATGTATTTGTACACACAGACATATTTTTTGCAGACACCTTGGCCTAGCATACAAACAATGCTATTTGTACATTTACTTTTCCATACAGACCTCACACATATTTTGGTATGAAAAGTCGACATAAAACATCACCTGTCTTTGGCCTGATGTGGATGATTCAGTTGACCAATCGCATGCCTCCACCCTTGAGACACTGGTGTAATCAAGGGGATGGCCTTGAAGGGTACATCTGGCAAATGCACGATGGTGTCAGTTTTGGCATTCAAGAAATCAGAGAGAAGCTGTACACGGTCAAGACAGAGTTTGTCAAGCAAGCAGGGGGCAGCCATGGAGGTGACTGGTCAGCAAGAATCAGTTTTGTTCCAAAGGTAAGATACTTGTTTTCCATGTGTAGATTCCAGGCCTTCCTTTGGGGATACAAAGCAGACTGACTGCTTCTTAACAACCATGTCCCAATAGGCAACTAATTAGGGATTGCTGAAATCACATGTGTTGGATCAAAAGATACAGATATCACAGGCTAGCTGTAAATTACAGCATAATGCGCCAACTGCCCTTTTAATGAAAAACACTGAAAAAGAAACTTGTTCCACAAGGGTTACTGCAAATGTTATGTAGATCAGGGCTGTAACTGTAGTCAACATGGGCATCTTTATGTGATTGGTATTTGACATGGATTTAGCGCCTGAGACAACAGATCCCATCCTCCAAGACTGTCCTAAATACAACATATCAAGGAAAAACATTTGGCCAAGAGAACCACCGGTGCAAGTCAATCTTTACGGGTCGATGATTAAATTACATCAGACAGTGAAGTTCATGGTAGAGGCAATATTGCAGATATAGATAATCTATTTCAAGCGAACAAAAGAAAAAGAAGAAGGTATTTTACCAAGTTGAAGAGATATGTTTATTTACTGTGTTGTTCATCTAACATGTGAGGCACAAACTTTGAACAGACTAGCTGATAAATATTTACTCACAGCTGAGATGTGGTTTTTGAGATGAATGTGAAGAATATTGAGGAAGGATAGAAAAAGAAGCAAGGCAGTTCTCAAAACTGATAAAAGCCTTTGAGATGTTTTGAGCGGAATGGACTTGAGAATTTGGTAACGACTGGCAAGATTGATGGAGAAAATGCAGAGGGAAGGCAAAGAGACAGACACCTGGATCACTTAGCCATATGGATGGGGGGGGGGTGGGTGTGAGACAAGAACACTGACTTGATCCGTGATTGTGGTGATCATGTGGGATTACAAAACAAAGCAGCTTACATTCTTTGGCACAGAACATGATGATTTTAAAGCTGTATGCAAACACAATAACTCCTCCTTTATCTTATCTTCCAGTGGAGCTTCAACTCTTTCTGTCCCAAAGAATACGATGTGTGAAGTTGGGTAAAAACATTCGTTTTCTGCAATGGTTATATATTTGACCCCTCTGGTAGTAGTATACCCATGAGTTTAGTACTGCCATTTATTAATCCCTGGGACATTAGCTAGACTGAAAGAGTTCAGAAATTCATGCCAGTCCTTTTGCAAATGTTCATGATTTAAAGGATTTTGTGGCTCTGATTTTATGAGATGATGCAGTCAGTTCCAAACTTTTATTAGAAGCCTCTTACGATAAGCGTGGTTAGTGTTTCCATTCTTTGCATTCCGTATGCATTCCATTATCACATACTCAACTTGTTTTTTTTTAAATTCTTACTGGAACAATTTTGAGGAGACAGTATTTTATATTACAGTAAAGCCTTGTTAACACTTGATTCTTCTTCTTCTGCCTTTCTAACCCTCAGTCGGAGCATAGGCCCTCAACCAACTCACGCCAAGTCATTCTGTTCTTTGCAATCACATAAAGCTCTCCCCTTGTCCCCCCATCTGTTTAACTATGCTCTCTAGCTTCCTTCTGCATGTATTTTTTGTGTATGTTAGTCCTCTTTAATTCTATGTCCCTGTTAGTTCTAATGTGAAGACATTCTAGTTATATTGTTGTCAGGCTTTCTCGACGCATGTTCTATGCAATGCCAGCGTCTTTTTCTTCATCTCTTGATCCACTGGGATTTGTTTAGTTCTCTCCCAAAGCTCTACATTAGTGGTTATGTCATACCATTTAATTCCCTCTGTTCTGCACAGGCACCAGTTAATGAATGTTTGTAGTTTATTAGGAATTGCCTTAGTTGTTCTTCATGATTCCGTTCCATACAACAGTATTGATTTGACATTAGGATTACAGATTAGATCAATATGAACAACTTATTAGTCCCAGCAGAGAAAAAATCTCAGCGCAGTGCACAAACTCTGTAGCACTGGCGAGGATCCTGAAATACTTTGGGTAGATTTTTAAACTCCAAATTTTGCCTAGGCTGCGCTTTTAGACTACTCTATTCAGTTTCCATCTGCCAAGGGATTTTTTTCTGCGCATAAATACACATGGGCATCTGATTTTACATCCCAGAGACCAGGGGAAATTACTAGAAGTCTACATGAAAAAATCCCAGCTTTCCCGGGGTCTGAACCTGGGACCTCCAGCACTCAAGGTGGACGCCATGCCTTGAGACCACACAGCCACCAGGATGTATTATTAATATTATTGTTATTAGCCTCTGTTAGTGTGACGTTTTTTTCAAACATGGTTTACTTAACTAACTGATGTGATTATATTTAAATTAATAAAAAATCTTCACCTTTCTGTGAATGCTGCTTTTCCTCAGGACCCGTCAACACCTGTTGTACTGTCAAGTTTCTTCTATGCTGCTTTGGATGGAGACAATGGGAAACTGGAACCAGTACTGGTGAATAACCGTCTGCGATCAGTTCGAGGATCACATGAAGGATTAGGTGATTTTGAACTGTTGTTGCCGAAAGTTGAGAGTAGCGGTCAAAAGGAAAGCTATTTAGTCACTTATGCTAATCAACTTGATCAACTTGAAGACATTTCCATAGCAGGGATGGGCGTAGAAGCCTGGGACAGTGCCAGGACCCTGCCTTATTTTTCCCTTGCTGGTCGCAGGGTGCCGAAAGATGTTCCAGGACCAAACTATATTGTAAAACAGGTGACGACCACATTGCCTTTTACCATGGAGGTTGTATTTCAGTCTGCTAGTTTTGCAGATAGGCAGAATCAGTTGTCTGGTAATGTTTTTTCTTCTCTGCTGGAGCAGCGGAAGAAAGAGTTCAATGACCGATTTGAAGAGACATTCAGACTAAATGAAAAGGAATACAGTGAGAGAGAAATTAACTTCGCTAAAGCTGCCCTTAGTAACATGCTGGGTGGTATTGGATATTTCTATGGATCCTCTTTAGTGCAGTCCTCCTACAACAGGGAACCTGTGAGTTATTGGGAAGCACCCTTGTATACCGCAGTACCTTCACGTCCATTCTTTCCCAGAGGATTTCTGTGGGATGAAGGATTTCATAATCTTTTAATCAGTGCATGGGATCAGGAGATTTCCAAGGATATTATAGGTCATTGGATGGATCTGATGAACACAGAGGGATGGATTCCTAGAGAGCAGATTTTAGGGCCGGAAGCCCGGAAGAAGGTACCATCAGAGTTTGTTGTTCAAAGAAACACAAATGCAAATCCTCCCACCTTTTTCCTGCCTCTTCAGAGGTTGATTAAGAACATGATAAAAAGCAATAAGCAGGAAGACAAGGTGTATCTGACAGCCCTGTACCCTCGACTGAAGACATGGTTTAATTACTATAACACCAGTCAGAATGGAAAGCTTCCATTCACCTACAGATGGCACGGAAGAGACCCCACTGTGACAAAGCAGCTAAATCCACTGACCTTAGCCTCAGGTCTGGATGACTATCCAAGAGCTTCGCATCCAACAGATGAGGAGCGACATGTTGATCTGAGATGCTGGATTGCTTTTGCAGCCGGTGTGATGGCAGATATCGCTAGGACACTAGGCCAGGATTGGCAGGAGTATGAGGCAACTCACAAGCTGTTGTCCGACAACAAGCTCCTGGATAAACTTCACTGGTCACCAAAAGGGCAACAGTACAGCGATTACGGCTTGCACACTGATAATGCCAGATTAGAAAAACCTAAACCACCTCCCAACCCCAAGCACCCTCATAATTCCTTCAATATGGACATGGACAAAATCAGGGTAGTTCTCAGTGAACCTACTTTACAGTTTGTCAATGCTCTTGGGTATGTCAGTCTCTTTCCATTTCTTCTGAGAATAGTGGATGTCGAGTCTCCAAAACTGAATTACATTTTAAGGGACATTACAGATCCTAACAAACTGTGGACAGACTATGGCCTGCGTTCCATAAGCAGAAGCTCAAAATTCTACGGCCGTTACAATACAGAGCATGACCCGCCTTACTGGAGGGGACCAATTTGGATCAACATGAATTACCTGTGTCTTTCAGCCCTTCGACATTATAGCTTATTGCCAGGACCTTACCAGGACAAAGCAAAATCTGTGTACGAGGATCTGCGCAAAAATGTGGTTCAGAATATAATAAAGGAATATGAACGTACAGGTTATATCTGGGAAAATTACCATGATAAAACAGGAGAAGGAAAAGGATCCCATCCTTTCACTGGTTGGTCAGCTCTTGTTGTGCTGATTATGGCAGAGAAATATTAATGGCAAATTCGTTTAGTGCCTGTTTTGCTATGAGAAAATGGTTGTTGATTACATATATTTGTAATTGGTTAAAATGCTAATAATAGCTACATTCTGGGAAATAAGATTTCTTGGTCGTGAGTGTTGGCAGTTTTGTTAAGCTCAAAAATGCATTGCCTAACTGCATACAAGGTTTTAAGTAAACAAAGTCAGTACTGAGTGTGCTCAGTTTGACCTTAGAAACTTGCAAAATGTTGTGTTGCTAAAGTTGAGTGTAATGTTTCGAATATTATGTATTGTGTTGCTAAAATTTAGCGTTGCGTTGTTAATATTGATTGTTATGTTGCTATATTTCACCACACTAGGTAAATATTGTTTGAAATGTTACTTGCAGGATAATATTTTAAAGCTTTGAAATGTTAAACTACTTTGTAAAAATGTTTTATCATGAACGGTTTACTAAACCGTTAAGTAATTTTGTCATTAGATATTTAAATATTATATGAAGTATCATTTAACAATATGTGCATGTAATTTATGTGCACAGCTTTTCAAAACAATTATTATCTTCTTGTTTTATTACTTTGTGAACACAACTTTTTCTTTAAAACTGATAAATCAAATACATGTTTATTTTTATGTTTGCCCAAGTGCCATCAGTGTAGCATACATGCACAAACAGAGAAAATAAAAGATGAGGCGACAGATATTGAGAGAGACAGAGAGAAGTGTACGGGTGTGCTTTATTTCCCTATGTTGATTTGTGGCTAAGCAGAAATATTATTCTCTTGTCTGATAAGAAGCATTGTGTAAGAGACTGGGTAAATCTATGGGAATAATAGATGCAAGCTCATTGTGTAATTGGAGAAATAAGAGACATTTCAGTAACACTGTTCATGCTGTATGTAGCTGCATAATCTGTTGTTTTGTGTAAATTAAAATTCTTTTATTTAGAGATCCAAAACAGATATGTTCTGTGAGCAGAGTATTCCATTTGTACATATTTCTTCTTCTTCTTAATATTCACTAGCTATAGACTGTGGTGGAACATTCTGATTATACACCCACTCCTAATCTTTGGTCTTTATCTAGAACTTGAATTTTTTGTGCAGATCTGTTTTACAGACCTGGCTAATTTTTATGCAGACCCCTGGTCCTTCCCTCTCAGGCAGAGGTATCTTGACTTTGAAGGAAACATCCTTTGTTAGTCGCCTCCTACAACATGTTGGTTGGGGGTGGGAGGGTGGTGGGGGGGGGGGGGGTGGGGGGCAGTGGGTTTATTCTTTGTTCTCAAAAATGGGGCTACAGAACCCACACAGGGAGTACATATTTTACATATTTAACACAAATTGTTTTTTTTAATAGTCCATGCCCTGCAGCTTTGGCCGTCATATGTGTTCACAGTTGTCTGTCTTGTCAGCTGTCAATTATTCTGACACAAATCTTCTTTCATACCATGTCAGATTGTCCAACATCCTCCTCTTAGTTTCCGTCTGCCTCTTTTCCCCCTCCTGTTGTCATGCACTCCAGCTTTCTCCTTTCTCATGGTGGACCCAAGGAGTGTTTACTGGCTTCTTCTGATTCAGGGAATCAAATCTCTTTGTGAGTTAATTGTTCAGTAATCCTCTAACTATCCAAGATTTATAGGATCATGCAGGTTAACTAAAGCTGACCATCAGATACCTGTCTTGTCTTGTTATTATTCTCTGAACGTTTTTGTAACTATTAAGTCAGCATCATAGAAATGCAGTTTTGTAATTCCAACCTATTGGGTTCAGTTCAGCTGCACTTACTTTGTGTTGATTTTAGTGGTCATATGGAGCAATGACTTTTCATAAAACAATAGCAGACTTCTGGATGTCAGATCACCTAGTAGAATCACAAACAAGGAAATCTGGAATGAATCTTGTGTAGAAGTCCTGGTAAGAAAGAACAGAAACATAAAACATGGATAACACCAGAAACGATTAAAAGCAACTAGTTAGGGGTTTTCTTTTGAAGTCAAAGTGCATGTCCCTGAGAGGCATTAAACCAACAGTCTCCTTAAATATAAGCCAGATCTGTAAAATGGATGTGCACGCATAACTCAAGTTTTGAAGAACAAGAGTAAACTCCAGGAGTGGATGAACAACCAGAATTTTCCACAGAGTTATACATCAGTGAATGTGAAGATGGACAGAAAGAGGACATTATGTAAAGGTTATGCAGCTATCCTTTAAAAAGAAAAACTGTTATATTAAATGAACTGTAAAACACCATCAGGTGCAAACTATCTCCAAGAATATGTTGTTAGTATGAAATAACTGATTACAGCATGTTTCCTCAACAAATCTTCAGAAATTCTTCCAATAAAATGATTCCTCTTGGAGCTGTAGAAATATCTCCTCAGTTGATTTAAAAAAAATCCTATCAGAAACAGTAATACTCATATTTTGGTTTAGAAATGCTTGTATTGTATTGTATTGTATTGTATTGATTCAAAGATTGTATTGTATATTTCCTTTCCTAGACTTAGTTTTCAGTAACATGCTCTCTTTTTCTTGTATTTCTGTTGAAGATGTGATATATTTTAGATTGGTATATTTGACTAGTCTGGAATGTTGTTTGGAATATTAAAGACAGGTTTTGTTTTAGGTTGGAACATTTCACAGATCTGTCTGCTTTGGATTGTTTGAAACATTTTATGGATTTGTCTGATCAGATTGCATTGAGTTTCTACAGACAAATCTGTTTTAGATTGGTTGAAAAATTTCAGAGATCTCTGTTTTAATTTGATGATAAGGGCCGGACTTTTTTTTCTTCAAAAGAATAACTTTGGCTCCCAGATCGACCCTGCCTTGAGTGAATACCAGGTACAGTCCTGGGAGGTAAAGGCGGCCAGCATGATGCTGACCACATCAATCACCAAGTGCCGATTGGTCTATAAAATATAGGTCTAGCCCTATGTACCCAGTACGCCTGAAAGGTGTGGAAAAGGGTTCTTAACTTGTACTGTTTTTATTGCTTGAAAGATTTCCTTTATTTGTTTTCCAGACAATCATGATGAGTTTTAATTTTGTTTGATTATATGATTATTAATTTATTAGATTTAGAGGGTGTTTTCCTTGTTTTTGTTTTTTTGCAAGAAAAGTATCTTTATAAACGTCTGGTTTTGGCGGATACTATTCTCATTGTGTGGGAGATATCTTGAACTTGTTTTCAGGAACTGCAGCACAGGTATATATAACGCATTTAACACATTTCTACCCCCTCCATTTAGTACGAAACATCTCATTCAAAATGTTGAGGCTGGAAAGAAAACATTGATATAATCTATTTCTGCAGGATAATTTCAATGACATAATCACTTCAGATATAATTACAGTGCAGACCTGAGAAGGAGAACTCACCAGTGCCAATCTATCAGTCTCTCCACCTGCATGACCTGAGCAGAAAATTCATCTTTTATTAGCTAGAGTTAAAAAATCTGGTTTTAAACATTTGATTGTATCTGTGTTTGTCTTCTCACCACTTTCCCCAGTCCGCTCTCTACCCCTCCCAAGTCTTTAGGCATTTAATTTCCTAATATAACCTCTTCCTTTTTTATTTTGATTTTTAAGTCTCCAATATTGCTTTTAATATTTGAATTTTTAAAATTTTCATTTTGTTGTAATGGGTAATTTAATCCTGGTGTCAGTATTCACCTTCCATCTCTAATCATGAACCAAGTCGAAATAGAATTACTCCCCTTTGAATGGCTTTGACGTTGATTTGATCTCAAGCAGTTTTCTAGGGAGGGAGTCACGGTAGCTTAGTGGTTAGAAAACGCTTGCCTACTGGCCCGAAAGCCTTTGGTTCGATTTCATAAGTAGATTTTTTATAAAGGGACGTCAGTTCCCAGGTCGACCCTGACTGAAATGTGTACCAGGCAATATCCAGGGAAGTAAAGGCGACCCCATGATGTTGACCGCATCACCCATTGCTTGCTGACTGATCTGTGAAAACGAGAGTCTAGCTTTATATTCCGGATGTGCCATTAGCATGACAAGGGTCCTATTTAGGAGTTTCTGCCTGCCACGCGTGCCTGTCTATCCACTGGTCATATATTTGAATCCCCAGCTATGCGGGAATTTATTGAGAACTTTGATCTTCAGTCTCCTGCTGAACCCATTCTTACATGGGTAGCAGTAACTGTGAGAAGTAAAGGCGGCGTTATTTCCCACATCAGACATGTCTAGTCTGTATACAAACATATTGTACAAGCATCATTTACCGACTTGCCCTTAGACATGACAAAGGAACTTTCACTTGTAACTTTATTCCCTTAGGAAGCAGCATGTTGGAGTAGCTGGGGCACTCACTTGCTAGTGTCAACAGGATTAAGGTGTGTGTGTGTATGTGTGTGCGACGATTAAATGCCATAAGTAAGTAGTAAGTAAACGACCATATTTCACTCCTTTGGTGCATCACACATGTAGTGCTAGGCCTATATGTCTAAAGATCTCACATTTAGTGCTAGGATTATATGTCTATAGATCACACATTTAGTGCTAGAGCTATATGTCTATAAATCTCACGTTTAGTGCTAGAGCTATATGTCTATAGATCTCACATGTAGTGCTAGGCCTATATGTCTATAGATCTCACATTTAGTGCTAGGCCTATATGTCTATAGATCTCACATTTAGTGCTAGGCCTATATGTCTATAGATCTCACATTTAGTGCTAGGCCTATGTGTCTATAGATCGCACATTTAGTGCTAGAGCTATATGTCTATAGATCTCACATTTAGTGCTAGAGCTATATGTCTATAGATCTCACATTTAGTGCTAGAGCTATATGTCTATAGATCTCACATTTAGTACAAGAGCTATATTTCTATAGATCTCACATTTAGTACAAGAGCTATATGTCTATAGATCTCACATTTAGTACTAGAGCTATATGTCTATAGATCTCACATTTAGTACTAGAGCTATATGTCTATAGATCTCACATTTAGTACAAGAGCTATATGTCTATAGATCTCACATTTAGTGCT